ATTACAACAAACACTGACAAGAACCCGAAAAACCCACCGTAGGACTGTTACTCGCAACAACAACAACCACTCGGGATAAGGGAACGTGAACGCTCGAGGTAACTGAGGTCAAGAGGGATTGCGTTCTGTCACAACACGAGTAACCACAGTAGCATCAAAACAACCTGGACACCTCCAAAAAGTCAGCAGACAAAGTTTGCACCGAGAAACTTCGATCTCTGACTGACCTCCCAGCACCTAAGCCTCTCAGTGGAAAGCAATCAGTGTGACCAGTCCCATAAAGATCTAGGAAAAAGCGCACCGTTCAATAGAAACGCTCTGACAAAATTTAGTATCCTCTTCGTGGCCCGTATCAGTGACGTTGGCTTCATAACAAAAGTCACAATAGCATCAATAAACAAGTAAACGACGTCCTAATGAACATGGCCTAACCTGCCAAAACCACTCCTCTTTCTGGAATGAAGCTACTATACTAGCGAAACCCACTCCCTTTATCTCTGGCTGTCAGTTGAAATATTCAGTTTCCCCATCTTATTCACGCTCATGTAGAGGTGAAAATGGCGCAAGCAAGGATTGAGCCGACCGGGAATTACTGCTAGTGTCCCTCTGTTCGAACAGACACTCTACCTGAAAGATATCCAGTGACTATTACCTCGTGGACAAATCTACTGCACGAGAACTATGTATTACCAGCCCCACTGAGACATAGGGAAGAGGAGGAAATCTACAGCGGTCCTCAGCTGAGACAGACCTTTCCAATGAGACACTGTCCTGCGCTGATAGCAAAACAAACACCATGTGGCAGAGTTAGTGGAGGAACTGAAGAAGAAAAGGGACCCTCCACTGAACCATTGATCATGCTGACCTGGAGATAGTGGCCTGTGATCTGTGCACTGGGAGAAAACGGAAGCCAGCAAAGTACCTGTCTGCCAGTGTCTGCGCGCGATACGTGCTTACGTGACGCGCACCTACGAACCTCACTATAAAGGGTTTCCATTAAAAACAACACAAGCTAATTTTGTGTAAGACTTCCTGCAAAGCTCCAGGAGATCACCTGCTCTCGTCACAGTGAGGTAATGAAGGATTTTTCTGCCGCACTGACAGCAGTGTATCTTTATCTCTGCCGCCATGCAGTGAGCAAAAGGCCACAACATCGTCTCTGCTGCAGCAGAAATGACAAAGAAGCACGGAGAGAGCTCGGCCCGAGTCGGCAAGAAATCCAAAGGAAGAATCCAGGCCCAGGAGAATCATGTGAAAGATAGCTTCAGCAGGAGGTGGAACATATAAATCGCTCTGGGATAAAGCAGTCGATAAAAAAATGAAATTGTCCACTGAGCTGGTTCAATATCATCATTGAGAGAAAAGCTCTGCTTGTCAAGATAAGATCAAGATCCCAAGCGCAGGGATATTTGAAGTGAGTCGGGCCAAAGAGCTAGGCGAAGCTGAAGCAGAGCTTGTTGAGCTGAAGATGGAAGATCACTGAGCTGAAAGTAAGGCTCACACACACACAGGATCAACTCCACTT